TAAGAGATCTATATATGATATTTTAAATATCAAAAAATTTAAATAATTAAATAATAAATTTTAAGGGATTTCAACGTAATTCACCCCTAACTTTTTAATATCATGCCCTCAAAACCAAGATACTTCGTTTGGCAACTGTGCATCCCATCAGGGTAGAGATTGGGTAGGCATGCTATGGTGGTGCGGCAACAAAGTGTCTAAGAAAATGTGTCAATCACACTGACAAGTGGCAATCATGAGGTATGATTCCTTTCCACAAATTGACAATGTAACTGAAAGTTGGGAGAGGACCAAGCCTTTACATGTCTCCCTCCCATGAAACACGGGCTCATTCACATGCTCCACCAGGACCACCACTACCCCGATTTAATTTAAATTTAAATAATTTTTTTTTTGTTTCCTGAATATTGTCATGGGTCTGACTCATCTGTTATTAAAACGATGTCATTTGATCAACATCATCTCTGTTGCTATAGCAGAAGATCCACAGCATACCGCAAGACCACAAAATTTATGCTTACCATAAAAGGAAACTGTCTGGTGAACTTGCTAAGTTCATTAGCCAATGCTCATCAGCTGATTCCAATCCTCTGGTCGGCAGATATTAAAAAAAGAAGGCAAAGCAAGCCAAGAGAAAACTTCATCCCTGCCATCCAAAAACCAACAAAAACAAACGAATTAGATAACAAAGATACATCAAATTCAACAAAAAAGAATAATCAAATGCATTTTCTTGGATTTAGGCAAGAATGGAAGAAACTTATACATCACTTTGAGGCTGCTCCAAAGCCAATTTACAAATCCAAGAACCATACACACCTCAAGTCCAAAACATCATTGTGCTAAGATATCCAATTAGAAGAGAAACCTGGGATGGAGTCTCGTCTGCTATGATCTTCTTGGTCAAAATCTTGGATTTGTAATAGAAGGAGAGTTGGTGTTGCAATCTCTAAATGAAGTTCACTTTCAATGTTTCCCGCTGTGCATTAGATTCACTACCAGTGATTGTAATGCAAATTGCAAATGATCAAACTGCAAATGCGCACACACACATACCAAACACATCGCAACCCCATTCACTTGCCAAATTTCCCAAAAAAAAAAAATTTGGGATAGAAATATCTGCTTCACCTCAATTTCAATCCACTTTGCTGATATTCTCAATTTCAATCCAATTTGCTGATATTGTTAATTAGAATGTGTTCCTGATTTTGGAAGATATTAGAAATTTATATGATTTGGTCTCCTCATCAACTATCAAACAGGATTCAACGGTACACACTGCTATGATCAGGGTTTCTGAATCGATCTCTGAAAAACATTAGGGTTTTCATGCTCAAAAACTACAAAATCGGCACAAACTCCTCGATCTTCTCAGTGATCCACCACTCGGAAAAAATGGGAACGCTGTGGCTGGCCGGAAAACTCTGCGGGATCTGTATCAATACCAAACCTCTCAAAAACTCATAGATCTTCGGCTTTGGACATGTTGCAGAGACGACTAGGTCTGGGCTGAAAATCAGCTCTCCGTCTTTGGTGATGGGACGACGGCCGAATCAACGCCGCCAACGCTCGCTTCACTAAATCTCCCTCCACTGTCCCAATCCTCACCAGCGAATTCGTCATTGCCGATCTCCGAGCATTCAACCGATGACTTGAATGATACGACCCCGCATGATTCTGATGACGATTACCATTCTTGTGAAGACTACACCGAAACGAACCAGGATGCGTTGTAGGCGAACACATACACGTCTTCTTCTGACCAGACAATGCCTTGGTGTTTTGCTTTTGGTGCCGAGGAGAGACCGAGATCGAACGGCTAGGTGGAGTCGAAAATCGTACGGACGGCGAAGGTGAGACGGATCTGCACAGGTTAACCCGAGTTGGTGAAGCGGATCGGGTTAAGAAACCGGAGGATCGGGTCGAAAAACTGGACATTGAGGAAGCGAAGGCTGAGGAAAACGACGAATAGAATCGACCCGAAGGAGAAATTGATCTTTGGAGAGAATTCGATTTGGTTCTAGACGATGACTCCATTGTTGAACCAGTAGAGAGAGAATGTAGGAGAATAATATTCGGTAGAAAGTATTATAAAGCGCCGTTTGGCAAACGTAGAGCAAATCTGAAGTAGAGGTTATATAGGGGATGAAATCAATGGCAGAAACGTAAATAAGTTTGATTATCGGGGGTTTATTTGGAGGTGAAGTTGTTAATGCGGCCGTTAGTTGGGATGCCGGTGGTCAGTTTGGGCTTTCGATAATAGGATCAAATGGTTTCAGGACAAAAACCTATGGGCTGTCAGATAAGATTTTGATTACGCGTGCTCTCGCAACTGTTCCTAACACTCTTCTTTGTTTAATGTCGTGTGTTGTTCACTTATTTAGGTAAGAGTTGGGTTGGTATCTTCTTGTGAAAATGCTTAGGCGCAGAATATGGCGCCATTTGTCGCTAGATTTGTGGGGCCCCTCAATTTACTGACACCTATAATCTATTTTGTTGTCTAGCCCTGGTTGGTTGCAAAAATTACAAAATTACCTATGTTTGTCGCCTATATGAGTCTTATCACTATTGAATTGAATAGTATTTTCTCGGGACAGACGGTTTCCAATTATGCCCGCAGTTTTTTGGACGTTTCGTAGTTTCCCGCGCGTTGTATTTGAAAACAAAGTTCCGTTTGAGGACACGTGTTGGCCAGTTTGGTGGAATATGTGGGGGAACACTTCCGATTCCAAAGGCTGTGGTAATGAATGTGCCGGCCTAGAACGGGCATTCAATCTGCACATCTTTTTTATTCCTGTTTTTCGTGGCTATCAGTTTGTATTATTTAAGTGTTTAGTAGATTATTAGGGATTGTTTTGTTTAACGAAATCTTGATAATTGAATTGTAAGGGATAATTTGAAGTAATAATAAAAACGAATTATAAATTCAAATCTTTACGATCCCATAAAGTCAGGCCATAAAATTCTAACATGAATAGTCTACTTTTGATCAAATTAAAGAGAAGATTAATTAAAATATTTATAAATTAATTCGAACACATTCTTAACTTTTAAACTAAAAAAAAATAATTGATAATTAAATCTTGGTTGGTTAGTGTATTGAAAAATAATAAGAATTTTGTGAGGCCTAATATTCAAAGCTTGATAGGAATAACTTCACATGGGGTGGCCTCGTTAGGTCAAAGTTCATGCACCCCAATTTTTTTTGCCCCAAATTAATTGATCGAGCCTAGCTAGTCAGATTTGAGCATTCTAAAATTTTTCCTTTTAGTTGAATGGTCAGGATATTCGGGTCAACTTACGCGCACCTCGACTAATCTCTTCTTCAGTCTAATCACAAGCAGGTCATTTACGTTGAGATTTGAGTATTTATAAAAAATAAATTTCTCATAACCTAACTCAAAAAAATTATTAAAATTCAAACTCAAGAAGTGAGTGTGTCAAAATGTAATAATTAATTTCTCATGTCCCTCGAATATTGAGTTTTATTTTGTATTTTTCTCATATTTCTTTACATGTTTTCTCATTTGTATAGGTGCATTTACAATTAGCATTAATTGTAGTTGTTAGTTCTTCAATAGAATAGTAATATGCCGATGAACATAATTAAGAAATTTTTTCAGCATTGGCACCATCATCCTCATATTCAATTATTTTGGTTCTTGAAAAATGGAAACTCCAAACGAGGTGGCATCTTAAAGAACAAGGGTTGGTACATATTAATTATTTTTGAAGGCTTTCGATTGAGTTCACATGGGAGGCAAAAACCAAATTCTAGACGAGTTACATTTTTTTTTTTTGCCATTATGGCTTGTCAAGATAAAACAAACAATGCGCACTTCAACTAATTCTTTCATCGGTTCGGTCAAAAATAGATAATTTATGTCGGGACAATAATATTCATAAGAGATAAATCCCTCATAATCTGACCTCAATAAATTATCAAGATTCAAATTTCGAATATCTGAATTTATAATTTGTTCCTATTACCATTTGAACTACCTTGAAGTTCGAGTTTTGAGTTGCATAAGCCATTCAAACACTTCTTCCTTTATGTCCCCTCTCTTTTGAATTTTTGCTAAGTTGGTGAATATTCTACTATAACCCTAAGCCTAAATGCCCAATCACAGGGTTTGATTGCAAAGAATTGAGATTAACAGTTCTTTTGGTTGTGATTGTAACGTTCAAATTTATAAGAAAAGTTAATCAAAGTAATATTATTTTTACATCAAATTCAATCTAGTTGAACTCAACAACTATATATCCTTAAAAAAATTCCAACCCCCCTACCTACCAACCATGTTACTTTAAAGGAGGAACAAGCAACAATCCCCACTCAACTTTGTATTATAACATAAACTTTAAGCAACACATGCAAGACATTTGGTGGGCATTTCATTCCTATGATAAAATACCTTATAAATCACAACTTTTGCTTTTCTCTGTTTGTCTCATTAAAATGCTGCTCTTCCCTTTCATTTCCTTTTATTAACCAACTAGGATTTTCAGAAACTAAGGTGAAGTGGTCATCTGTCATATGTGGAGTTTTACAATGTATTGTGGGATATCATGTAAACCCCCAACTTTAGTTATTAATGAAATGACAATTTGAGTAAAACCCCAAGGTATACCCAGTATATAAAACTCCCGTCATTGCAGGAGTCCGGAAAGGGTTAGATGTATGCAACTTTATTCCTGCAAGCAGAGAGATTGTTTCTGCGAGTCGAATTCATGATAAGAAATTTAAATCAATATCAACTCAAATGGGTGTCTAATGCAAAAATTAAAATCCCTAGCAGGTACTTCTAAATAGGTTGGTTTTAATGTTAGGTGCCAGAAAATCAATCTGAAAGCCAGTGAGAATCCCACACACAAGTGAAAAAACAAGTGAGCAGCTATGAACCTTAGTAACTTAGTTATGTACAGTACAAATGAACAAACAAACGACATAAATGAACGAACCAACTCCACTAAAAAAAGGGGATAAACTTCAAAATTTACTGTGGCCTTTTCGCCTCAAAAGGGTCTTGAATAGATCTAGCATCAACGAGTTTGGTATATTTCCTGTGACGCCTCTCTCTTGCATAAAGCACCCAGAAGATCAGAGAAAGCATTACTGCTGCTGAGATCATAGCCAACCCAATGTAAATCCACTTGCTGTATTGCCTCAAATCAGGGCAGTGATCATCATATATCACAGTAAAGGTATCTCTAACGAATGTGCAGTCTAGTAGATCCGTAAGGAATGAACCATAACGATTCAAACCATAGCTCACATTGACTGCAGCAGTCATTTGGTTATACATATTAGGGGTCAAACGGCCCACTGTGGTGCATATGTTATTGCTGGAAACTTGGCACACATAATTCCTCCAAACCTGCATGAAACATAACGCAAGGGCTATGAAGTTGGCTTTGAAATAGTGTGTATGACTATCAATTTTGAACCAGAAAAGGAAAAAAAACAAAAAAAGACAATCCCAAATTTCAACTTCGTTCCTTCTACAATTTTCTGTCGTTTTGTTTTAGGGTGATGTTCCTTCTACTTATTTTCAGCAAGCAACAAAGCACTAGTGGTCAAAAAGCAGCTTTAAGAAACAATGGGGAATCAATGCGCAGATTTCTCGGAAAGATTTATCTCTTTTGCACAATATTGTGGCAGTTTGAAACTAATTTTCCAAGAAATTGCATATATCACCACTACAATATGGTACGAAATCCCGAAGCAAAATGACAGCAAATTGGTCCATTCAAGATGTCATATATTCAAATGTTTATACAAGATTTTTAAAGAAAGCACCATTCAAATTAAGATGAAGGATTCTCTTGAACCAATATCATGGTCCCACTTAACTTCTGATAAGGAGCACCAACTTTTCATCAACCAAGACTACACAATGAACTGTTCAAATGGGGGACAGAAAAAGCATGTACCATCAAATTGTCAAGAATTCTTTAGTGTCTCCTCAAAAAGCTTGCGAATTCACCCTTCAGTTGTTCTACTTACATGCAAAAGATTTGTGAGAACTAACCTGGGATGCATTGCCAAACTCTACCTCACCAGCTGCACATTTCCGGTCTGTCTTGTCAGCATTGAATGGATTACAGAGGACAGGTACCAATGGTCCAGATTGATTGTAGTAGAAAAGTCCAGCACCAGGTGGTATATTAGCATTGGATACATTTGTGATGATCCCGTTAACCACCCCAACCAATTGGTAAGTGACATCTTTGCTTTGAGACAATGTTTCTTGGGCAGTGGCATTGTCCAGACATGGGAGAATATCATCTAAAGCTGTATGAGCTGTGGGGTTTTGAACCCACTCATTCATGGAAACACATGTGTCCCCCACCACACTTGAATAAGAAGAAAATGTGTTAGATGGTCTCAGTGAGAATACCTTGAACAAAAAATAACAGCCATGCAGTTTGAAGAGGTTGCTTGGAACTAAAACCCTCATATGAAGGAGAATAAGAATTTTTGTCAAAAAGAAAATTTTTCTTGGGAAACAGCATCCTCCAAAAACTGTTATCCTGCAGACTCTTCAGATAAATGTTGATAGTAAGAGCAAAAAGGATAACTAAAAGTGCATATCTTCTAACGGCATCTATCTCTAATGCATGGACGAATTAGCTTCAGGTTCTCAAGCAATTTTTTACTCAAACGGGAGAACAGTGTGATAATAAAATAGGGTGATGGTGTAGTTGTCATTGATGAAGGAAATCCAAGACGAACTCTAGTTTTTGGTGCGATCAAATTGGAATCGAGATGGTTAATTTTTATCAGGATACCTTCATTAGCTCTAAAGGTCAAGTGATGAACATATGACGTGTAGGTGCTTCTAAGGTAAAATTATAAAAATAGCAAATTTATAAGTGGATAAATTTTAAGAATACGATCAAATAGAACTTACTTATGGAGAACCAGAAATACACCACACAGGATGAATGTAGCTGCAACAAGAATCCACCCTATGATCACCAGGCTGCAAACATGTTGAAAAGAAACAAAAAAGACTGTAAATGAACATAGAACACGCTTTAAACACCAAACAAATTAAAGACGAATAAGAAACGTGTCCCCTTAAGTCACTTACATGTATACAAGACACTGCATACCAAGGATAGAGAACACTGCACCCAATAGTCGCAGCATTAAAATGGGGCAAAATCATCACAAATTAATCCGGAATAGGAAGATTTGATTGAAAGGTTCAAAAGGCTTACAGAAACCAAGCAGAGCCAAGAGAAGCATTACAGCCGCTATTATGATAAGAGCCAGCCTCCTGTAGAGCATAGTTAGACACCTGAGCACTCATAATTTTCACCAATAGCATTGTTGAACATGGAAAACCTATTTGCATATACTCACACAGCATCCAAACCCTTCTTTATATCCTTTCTGTTCTGCTTGGTCTTAAATTCAAGAGTGGTAGCAGAAGAGTTAATATTTGTTTCCACTTGGTCAATGTTTCTTTGGACATCTGGAGGGAGAAAAATTTGTTCTACTCCAACCTGCTTAGCAGCAGCAAGATAATCTGATACATTCCTAAGATTCTCAACAGTGGTGTCTGCTTTACTCACAACATAGTCCAAGGTATCAGCGGTACTATTGTGAAACTTTCCTTGTCCAAGGTACAGAACAACACATCCGACACTGTAAGACACAACATAGAGCGCTGAGAATTTATTCTAACTACAACTCTGTGTGTGTGTGTGTGTGTGTGTGAGAGAGAGAGAGAGAGAGAGAGAGAGGGAGGTACATTGCAGCAATGGTGAACAACGAGAGAAGGATAATAGAGAGTGCATAAGCAGTTTGAGAATATCCATAAGGACGACGTCGGCAGCAGCAAAAACAGAAACACATAAACAGCAAGCACAGGCCAAATCCCGCAAACCAGATTGCAGCAATGAGGAACAGGGGAGCAGCAGTAAAAGCCACAGACTGCATCAAAAGCAAATTTTATACAGAGATAATGAAAATTTAATCTAACCTAGAAATAATCCCCCCATAAACCCGGAGATGTTCGAAATAAAGGCAACAAAAAAATATCAGCATCTGGTAATATTCATAGAAAACAAAATTAAGACAATCTTGTTGGGAAACGATGGAATCCGAGGACCAGAATTTTTTAATTTTTTATTTTTTGGGGTGAGGTGGCAAGCTAATGGTAAAAAAATTTATAAGACGAACTAGAGTCTCGTACAACAAACAATTGATTAGAAACAAATGGGGCGATGAAATTCTCTATACACAAACATAAAACTGAATAGCATGTAGTATTCTCGTATAGAAATATATGAATCTTAGGATATACCCAGAGTCTTATATTGTCCAAGGAAAAACTCTTAGTCCTAGAGGGGGACAATTAAATGTCTTAGGATTTAAGGTCAAAACACAAAAACAATTGATGATGTTGTACATGACAATCTTAACAAAATCAAGGTGACAGAAGCAATTCTGCAGTGTTTAAAGATAAATTAAGCAAACATCAGGAGGGGGGGGCTAAATTTATCCAGTATGCTGATAGTAAGCAAGCGCCATAAGAGACAAAGGGAAGCCCAAGGACATCGAAAGAATACCAATAAGCAAAACCCAAATTAGAACATCAAAAAAAATTTACATTGAAAAGCATGGGAACACAAATTAAAGAGTCGATTCCAACATTAAAAAAAAATCACAAACCCAAGACAACTAAATTATAATAAAGACAAAAAAAAAGGTACTTTAATTAGGATAAAGGGTTGAAAAAAGCTCACAGATATATAATGTTCTTCACTTATATTCCATCCACCGGTATAGTACTTGAAATCATTGAGTGGATCTTTCCTGTGGGTCCTCTCGGCAGCCAGTATCAGAGATGAGTTTCCACCATTTTTCCCCTCCAGAACAGACCTTTTCACTCCCCATGAAACGACACCAATCACACCATACTTACCCTCATCAATCCTCCCTACACAAGTAACAATATCACATAAAAGCAGAGAAAACACTAGTCTCTTTGAAGTCTAAGACGACAATGTTCCGAGACAACTGTGTTCTTCCGAAGACAAAAATGAAAACCCATTTGGAAATAACGAAAGAGATTACCTGGAGATTGAATGGCTCGAAGGTGATGAACTTGAGAAGCTCCATGAGAAAATGAAAAGAAGGTTGAAGCTATGAGGAGGAAGGTTGGTAGAAGAAGAAAAGAGAATGTTTTGGGACTGAACATGATGTTTTCGTCTTGGGTTTTCTGTGGAAAGGAATTGCTGTCTCCGAAGGTTCAAGGAAGGAGGGAGAGAGAGAGAGAGAGAGAAATCGTTTACCACGTCTCGTGTCTGGACAATATATATGTAGTGTAGTAGTAAGGGAGCTCTTGGCGGTGAACTTGGATGCCGCGTTTTGGTTTCGCATGTGAGAAGCTGTTCGAACACGTAGTTACGAAATTACCCTTGAGGACCGGGTAACGGCTAGCTGGCTATTGTAGAGTGGACTTTCCTTCTTACCAAAATAGCTCACATTAATTAGAGCAATTGGCGTGTGTTTACTTTAGGTATTAAGTAAGAGTGGTTGGGAAGAATACGTCTGGCCTACTTTAGCTTATTTACACTCATGTTTAAATATATATTTTAGATTCGATATTATCACTTAAAAATAATTTAGGCCTAGATGAATTGTATATTTAAACCCACCAACAGTTTATTAAACAAATCTTCCTAAAAAATCTCTAAAATATAAATATCACTTTATATTTTGAAATTTTTTTAATAATTTAATATTTATATTATCATTCAATACTCTTTTCAAACAAATATTATATGGATAATGTGGGATTCACTATTTATTAATATTTGAACCAAATATGAGATGAGGAGACATTATCTCTATAAAGAGTAATACTATTTGGACCTAAAAATTTAACTTAATTTGCTGACATAATAATGTGGTTTTATATGAATCATTGGATCAACACCAAGTTCCAATGTTTGATGAGATTTACAGTGAATCTAAATATCACAATAAATTAGGTCCCAATAACATTGCTCTTCTATAAATAGTCCAAATCTCGGATAGATGGATATCCGATCATTCTTAATAGCTAAACTAAACAATTCTTTAGAGGAATGAAATTTCATTCGGTAGCATTTTTAAAGAGAAATTATATGTTATAATTTTTTATAAGATTAATTGTTCATAAATAAGATTTTTCGGTTCACAATAGTGAATGATCTATTATTAATTAAAAATATATTAAGATTTTCTAAATTAATAAGTAGTCTATATTTTTAAGTTTTAAAGTTACATCCAAAAAATTTCCTCCCGAGTTTAACGAAAGGAAATGGGTACCTAATGAAAAAGGGTATGAAGCTCCGAGCTAAAAACTATGTAAAACATGGGGGTGTAACTTGGGCGGGTCAACCTAAATTTAATCCAAGCTCAACCTGAAAAAAATAGGATTTGGATTATAATTTTAATATTTGGGTTCGGCATGGGAAAAAAAACTTCAACCCAAATTGAATTTGGGCAAGACTCGGGTTGTAGGATTGAACCCGAATATACATAAATATAGAAATATATTTAATTAAAATTAGTATTTTTCTTCACTCTTTTAAAGTTAAAATTTTCACTTTATTTCAAAGTCTTCACCTCCCTATGTCTCTATCACTCTAAAATCCTTTTCTAATTTGTCACTCATTCCTCTCTCGATCGTTATACATCATTCTCTCACTCCCTCTCTCTTCATCTGCGTCTTGCGCTTCATCTCAAATAACTTGAAAAAATTAAATTTATACTTGAAAAAATTATATTTTACATTTAAAAAAATTGACCCGAATTAAATAATTCAATTCAACCCTGAGCTCACCCGAATTAAACTCGAACAGTACTCGAA